TTGTCTGCAGGAATTGGTCACCATCAACTATTCCAATGAAAAGTTGACTCTGATAAGATGTGGACTATTCTTCTGTTTTACACTTTCACATAAACATGATTGAAATTGTGATTCAATGCTCTCCTTCTTTTTCATTTGGTTGCAATAATAGTGTGATCTAATTATTATTAATCAAAAGGGTCCAATGTGATTGTGATGGATGATGAACATAACATCGTACATTATTTGATCAAACTTGCAAACATCGTATATAAATTAGTTTATGTTGGGATTTCTATAATTTTTCCTAACCTTTGTGCAACCTAAATCTAACTCTATAAAGGAAAGATAAATGATTGAACGAATAACCCCAAATAATCTATTGGTGTTACTATTATCATTAGTTTGCGATCGATTTGAAAAACTTTGAAATGAAATCTTTTATAAATACCATTGCAAATCTCTAACTTATATAATTATTATGTGGATTATTAACCTTTTAATCTTATGATTGTTTTTTCAAAAAATTATGCTAAACTTATAATTAAAAAAAAATGATGAAGGTCTCAATAAGGAGAATGGATTCATTTTTAGCCAATGAGGGGATCCCCTATCGACAAACAAAAGTTTCTCTCTCTATTGTTTCTCGCACATTGGTGTTACCTACGAAGAAGACTTCAGTGACTTTGATAACTTTGTTCTTAATCATATCTATAAAGAGGACAATAGGTTAGTAAAGTAGGTGTCTAATATAGTTATGAAGGATAAGTTTAGTTATCCCTCTAAATATCTCTCGTTTTTTCACTCAACTTAAGGAGTGATTTTTGTACCGACTTTCTTAGTAATATATTTTATTATTTTTATATAAAAAATCAGTACAAGAAATGTCAACTTCTAATATCATCAAGAAAAAAGATAATTGATTGGTGTTGAAAGTACAAACATGTTCGAAATATCTAATCCCAATCTACAATCATAAAAGATTTGTCATCATTTTGAAAATGATAATTAACCTAAGCGTTAGTAGGTACATCAGAGATTAGAGATGAGAAACTTATGCATATATTAAACAAATGCTTGGATTTGAATATCAATATTATAAAAAAATAGATATAATAATTTAGATTAAATTGGATTAGAAAAATCAAGACTAGGACTTTGACTAGTTAGGTTTAGTCTTAAAATGACTAAAATATACCTTAAAATTATTTAAATTTCAATGATATTTAATTATTTTATTATAAATATAAATAAAAAAATATTATTTGTTAACTCTCAACCTTCCTATCTTTTTCCACTAGTATCCATTTTTTATTATAAAACTATTTAAATATTTTTATTTTTATTAATTATAGAATATATTAATTTTTAAAAATTATTACCGACTTAGTTTCATAAATATTCAACCCAATTTTGATACTTAAATATAGATACTTAATATATAATTTTTAAGTAGATATGGATTTCAATGAAATATAAATAAAGGATGTATTTAGTGCACTAGACTCTCGCTGCAGAATTTGGAAAGGGTTATATACACAATCTTACCCTTAATTTTGATATATCAATGAGATATATATACATATATATATATATACATACATATATATATATATATATATATACATACATATATATATATACATATATATATATACATATATATATATATATACATATATATATATACATATATATATATATACATATACATATATATATATATACATATACATATATATATATATATACATATATATATATATATATATATATATATATATATAGATTAAAAATAAATTATGACATATCAATCATATTTCTCAAATAAAAAATATAAAAATATAAAAAAATAAGACAGAGAATAAATACACATGAAAAAAATACCAATTATTTTTTTATCACTATATAAATTTATTTGGATGGCATCCCATCTCCTCTCCCTTTCTCTAGAAGTTCTCTCTCTCTCTCTCTCTCTCTCTCTCTCTCTCTCTCTTTCTAATTGCCAGAAGAAGATTTTATATTAAAAATTACACTGCTAGAGATCTCTTATATTAGATAATTAACGAGTACTGTTGGTCTTACCAGCTACTTTAAGATCAAAGATTAGTTAGGTCAACATAAATAGCATGGTTACTCTGGATCAATCACAGAACAGCTTTTGTACATAGCCAAAGCTTCTTTATCTTATAGGAGATAACCAAAGCAAGCATATTCACTTTTTTATGCCCCAAAGTATCTTGAATTATGCGCTCATTCACTTAAAATCTAGACAAAGCAGGTGTATTTTCCAATGT